ACACAGTCAAATTCCAAGGCCATTGCAAGATTAGAGGCAATGCAGAATCTAATTTGCATAATAACACCACCACATTCTTACCTTTGCCATTCAAAGCTGAGTCCTCTCACTATCTGCTATACTGGGTCAATAACTGACAACTCAGGTGCTGGGTTGCCCAGTGAAACCCTTGCCTCTTGTCCCTGTCTGGGCTCAAGCACTGAGCAGGAGTCTAGAGACCACTGTCTTGAGCTCTAGCCCTGGTTCTGTAGTTATAGGCCGAGTGACTGTGACACATCAGCCTTCAGTTGAGGATTGAGAGGTGGGAGCCTTTGATTCTTGCTATCTTCTGCTGAATGTGGTAGGTTTACAGATCTTCCTTAGGGGTCACCTGAGGCCCGAGACTGGCCTCTGCCTTAGAGGAAACATGCAAAAAGCCTCTTGGAGGGCCAGAGGTTTGCCTCGGTGGGGGGTTTTGCTTTATGATGCTTCGATGTCTGATGCCCTCTCTAGAATCACCTGATGGGCCTGACCTCCTGGCCTCAAGCCCGATGCTTCGATGTCTGATGCCCTCTCTAGAATCACCTACTGATGGGCCTGACCTCCTGGCCTCAAGCCCACTCTGGCCTCCATTGTCTCTTAACCTTCATCCTGCATCCTGGAATTCTAGGCATTCTGTTCTTTCTGACCTTGGGCGATAACAGCCTTACTGCTCACTCTCTGAAAGTCCCAGAACAAGCCCAGTAGCCTCATTCCTTTTGCAGGTGTTGCAAGCATGACAACATAATTCAAACTCAAAGGCTGTTTGACAGATTCCACAGCACTGTGAGACGCTGGTAGGGTCCGCGCCTCTAGGACTAAGGCTGGTTTGTGAGCCTTAAGGTTGATTGGACATGGCTAGGAGAATGGCCTGGGCAATTGGTGTCTAAGATGGGAGAGCAGAGGCCTAAGAGCTGTTTTGCAGGACCTCTGGGCCATGGGTTAACATAACTAGATCCTCCAAATAGTGTGTGTTCAATCCTGGTCTAACCCCTATGACATCTTGGAATTCTCACAGCCAGAATGCAGAGGCTGTGTGACCGGCCCACTTAATGCTGATGCCACAGGTTAATTAAGGATAAAGTCAGACTCCCTGCTGTGGCTCCCACTAACCAATGGCTTAAGGTTACTTGGCAATGCTAGGCCCTCCGGAAGAGTATTGCCCTCCCCTGCACCCTTACATCCTTTCTCAGAATGTTCTGTGGGCAGCAACATTTTTTGGGTCTTGAGTGCAAGAGAAATGATGTAACTATTGGCATGAGGATTTACACTATCAGACTGGCACATGAGATAAGGTAAAAGAATGAAGGGTTTGAACGCTGGCTCTGTCACTGACTGAGTGTATTAGTTTCTTATGGCTGCTGTAACAAATTACCACAAACTTAAAACAACAGAAATACATCCTTTCATAGCTCTGGTGTCCAGAAGTCCAAACACCAGGTGTCAGCAGGGCCATACTCCTTCCAAAAACTCTGGTGGCTTCTGATGGCTTCAAGTATTCCTTGGCTTATAGCACTATCACTCCAATCTCTGCCTGCATCTTCCCACAGCCTTCTTCTCTCTGTGATCTGTGTGTCTCTTGTCCCTTGTCATTAGATTTAGGTTTTACCTAGGTAATATAGAATGATCTCATCTTGAGATCCTTAACTTCATTAAATCTGCAAAGATCTTTTCCAAACAAAGTTACAAGTTGTAGGGGTTAGGACATGGATATACCTTATTAGGAGACACCATTCAACCCACTACACTGAGTGGCCTTGGAAATGTCACTTAGCCTCTCTGAGCCTCAATTCCCACATCTGCAAGACAGGGATAGTAATTCCTATATCACAAGGGTATCATGAAAGTTTAAGTGAATGCATTTGTCACACAGTAGATGATCTATAAATACACATTTTTAGTTATGCAGATTCCAATCCTGCTAAACTGAGTGCTCTCAGTTACAAATCCCTTGGCTACGCACACCTCTGCCCACCTCTGGGATGTCTCCCATTCCCTGCCCTGGTCTTCCTTCTCTGCCTCTTTGACCTGTGTTCTCTACCCGGTTCCTTCTGCTCCTAAAACTTCTAGCATAATGTCTTCTATAGAACTGTGGAAAGCGCTCATTACATATTTTAATTACATCATATCCTCAGATCAGATTGACTTTCCCTGAATTCCCAGGACCACGGAAAAACAAGCAGTTAGTATCAAGTCCCTCCGCTGGCCACAGGGAAGAGCTTACAAGTCAGAAGACCTGAATCCTAGAGCCAGCTCTACCATCAACTAGCTGTGTGACCTTAGCCAAAAGTCCTAACTTCTCTGAGCCCCAGGTCCTCCATCTGGACGTGAGGCTGATGATACCTGTCTCGTTAGCCTACCCAGGTATTGTACAAAGGTCACCTGGGATAATGTGGATAACATGGACTGTAACCTGTAAAGTGCCCCATGAGTGTAGGGTCTTAATTATCCCCAGCTCAGGCCAAGGGGAATGGTCCCTAACTCTAGGTACCTGCTCCTACAGAAAAAGCTCAGCTCTGTCCCCCCTTCTTTCTCAGAATGCCTTTCTTTGTCTCCCCTTCACCTACTTGGACCCCACTTCTGATCCATTATCTAGGTTAAAGCCTGAGACCGCTCCCTCTCCTGGCACGGGCTCGCTCACTCCGCTGATCACCTCAGCAACCAGCCTGGTAGAGAGCAGAGTTTGTGTAGAATGGAGCCCCATGACCAGGGATGTCTCGTCCAGGCACTCAGGCTGCCTTCCTGCTCAAGGACTCACTGGTACTGTCAGGACTAGCTTGACTCCGAGGAGAGAGGCCCATTGTGCTGCATTGGGAGGGCTGTGGCAGGGGCCTCTAGCTCAGAAGAACAAGGAGACTCTTCAGGAACAGAGCACTTCAAAGCCAGCTGACCTGGCTTCAGATCTCTGCTTTTTCACTTTTTAGCTGTGTGACCCTGAGCAAGCCACACAAACCCTCTGAGCCTCCGTTTCCTCATCTGCAAATCGAGACTATAGTCCTTACGTGCAGGGCTGGTGAGGCCCCGGGGCAATGATTCTGAAGCAGGCATGTGTACCTGGTAACCACCCTGATGAAAAAGGCTAAAGAGAAGGGAACTAGCATTTATTAAGCTCCTCCTTTTTGCTGGATAAAGCAGACATGCTCTTCTCATTTAATTTGTACAACTCTGTGCAGAATTAAGATCGGGAAAGCAAGATTAGGCATGTGAAGTGACTAGTGACAGCTAGTAAGAGAAATGAAGTCTGTATTTGACTCCACTCTGGTTGAGCTCTAAAGCCAGAGCTGAGCCCACAGCTTGCATCATCCCTACTGCCTGTCCCAGCCAGTATGGACCCTGGTCCCCAGAGGGAAAACACCTCACTAAAGAAGAGAAGCGGTTCTAAGTCAGTCTCAGGTCCCTTTGTCTCGTGAGGATGCAGGTAGGGAAGCTGTTTGCTCATGCCACCCACCGCTGGCACAGTGACCACTGAAAGTTAACTATGTCAGTCAGGGTTCTCCAGAGAGACAGCACATCTATCTATCTATCTATCTATCTATCTATCTATCTATCTATCTATCTATCATCTATCTATCTATCTATCTATCGAATTTTTTTATGAAGGATGAGGGATTGGCTCAGACCATTATGGAGGCTGAGAAAGCCCACGATCAGCATCTGCAAGCTGGGGCCCAGGAAAGCTGGTGGTCAGTCAGAAGGCGTGAGAACCAGGAACTCCCATGTCTGAGGGCTAGAGAGGAGGGAGGTCCCCACTCAAGCAAAAAGAGCAAATTCACCTTTTCTCCACCTTTTTGTTATAGTCAGTTCCTCAACAGAATAGAAGAGCCCCACCTTCACTGCTGAGGGGGACCTTTATTCAGTCTATAGACTCAAACGTTAATTCCCTTCAGAGACACCCTCACAGACACACCCAGAAGTAATGTTTACCAGCTATGCAGGTGTCCCTTAGCCCAGTCAAGCTGACATAGAAGTAAACCATCATAGTGTCCAAGGATCAAGTAGCCACATGATGGACACTCACCTCTGGCTATTCTCACTCCATCAAATAGTAGCCTTCAGTAGAACCCCATCATCTACTGTCCCCCAGACACTCTCTGATCTGCTACCTCCCTGCCTCTCCTGTTCACCACCCCCTCCTCCTTCATACTTTCTGGTCCAGCATCAACCAGGTTGAGATCCTCATAGACAATGAGCTTTCTCCCTCTGCCCCTTGTAGGCGCTGCTCTTGGCAGAATGCCCCGCCTGCTGTCGCCTGCTTAATTCCAACTCATCATTTAAGAACCAGTTCAGGGGCTGCTAATGCCAGGGGACCCACCCTGGCTCGCCAGGCCTCATGCATGTTATAGAGTCGTGTGTCTGCTCCCACGATAATCCCACACGCCGATTACCATCTCTGGACTAACCACATTATAACGTTATTTTAAAATAATGTTTGTTCTTCTCATAGTCCGGGATTGTCTTAACTGGGATCAGGGAGTACTTAGGATAGTGCTTCTCAGGGGAAAGGGAGTGAGAGGGTATCTGAAGAAGTATTTTGACAACCCATGTCCAGTTCCTTGTCACTTCTATCAGAATGGGCTGGGGTGGAGGGAGTTCTGTGTGGGTGTAGGGAGAGATCCACGATGCAGTTATTTTGTAGCCATCTTCCATGTAATTCTGTTTTAGGATTTTCTCTCACCCTAATCCTTACTTTGGTGTAGGCCAGTGAGCTGTGCAGGGAGGCAGATGGATCCACACAGTTTTGGGAAACCCATGTCTGCATACTCATGGGGCTTGAGGCTGGGAAGTCAATTATAAAACTCACATTAGCGTGCAGAAACCGAACTTGATTGGAGTGATGGTTGGTTTTTGGGGAAGAGAGTTGGTGTGGAGGGGGCCTGGAGATGGGAGCGGATGAGGCGCCTCCCGGGGGTCCCTCCCCGCTTGTATAAAAACCTTCCTCATGGTAATAACCTGTCAGCAATAAAATACTCTCTTTTTCTCAGATTTGTGACAGCCTCCTGAGCTGGTGACAGACCTATTCTGTGACTTTTCATTGGATTCGGATCTCACATTCCAGAAAACATGACCCTCGCCGGTAGGTACAAAACCGTTTATGTGATAGGGACACAGAAGCACAGGGCATGTCTGTATGCGGATATATGTATCTACACAGAAAAAGATAAAAGACTGACAAGAATTACACCCAAGAGTTAAAAAGCGGCTATCTCTACACAATGGGTGGGATCACAGCTGAGCTTTTTATTTCTTTTGGCTCATCTCTGTGTGTTTTAAAAAGTTTTTACAATACACATGTATTAGTTTTGCAGTTAATTATGTTTTCAACTTGTAAAAGGAAATGAGGGGGAGAGAGCCTGGGCAGGGCACTGGGCATCAGCTGAGAGAGCCTGAGGGTGCCTGGGCTCTAAAACAGGTACACAGGCCCCAAGGCGGTGGGCGGGCCGTGGCAGGAGCAGGGTGCCAATGCCAGGGTGGGCATGGGCTGGACGTCAACACTTCAGCTCTGATGCATGACCTTCCGTTTTTCAAATCCTCCCCAGACACAGAGAGACTAGACAGTGGCGGGGGTGCTGCTCTAGCCCTCATGGACAGCAGCCCCTCTGGCCCTGACCACCGCACTGGGAAGGTCAGGGAAGGTTCATGGCCTGACCTCGCCACCCAGTGAGGGGCGAGACCAGATGGATGGGCGTGCACTTCTCTACCCTTCAGGGAAGCACTGCCAAGTACTTTGAGTAAAGTGGAATGTGGATTTCCTGCATGCTGGGGCAAAAGAAATGGGAAACCGTAGGCAAGTGTGGGGAGATAGCCGAGGCCAGGCTTCCAGGCCGGGGCAAAGGCATGGTGCTTGGGGTCTTGACCTGAGGGCGTTTTGCATTTGGCTCTGTGAAGGAGGGTGAAATGCTAGGGAAAAGACGGGGCCACCTGTGTGCGCTGGAAGGCTTAGGTTCTAGTAGGTGAACAGAAGTGGGTCTGAATCACACACAGCAGAGTCCTAAAGAGGGTTGACTGGGGCGAAGAGGGCCGGGTCCCCCGCCAAGGCATGGGTCTGGGTGCCTCTGTTGAGCCCGGGGACCCCGGCTGCTTTGGCATCCGGACTCACAGGGATGCTGGCTCTGAGACTAGGTGGGGGTGACCATCTTCACCTGCCGGGTGTTTCTGCAGCCTACAAAGAGAAGATGAAGGAGCTCCCGCTGGTATCTCTGTTCTGCTCCTGTTTCCTGACTGATCCCCTGAATAAGTCATCGTATACATACGAAGGTAAGTGAGGGCTGCAGTTGGGAGAGTAGTGGGTGGAGGGTTCCTGTGGCTTGTGTCCATGAGTACAGCACTCCCTACCCCAATATCCTGCACCGCTCCTCCCCACATCATCTTTTCTTTCCCAGAGCCAGGAAATCACTGCAGCTGGGTCCGAGGGTCTAAGCACCATGTGAAGGCAGGTGTGGGGCTGGGCCTGGAGGTGTAGACAGCAGTGGAAGGTCTGAGTCAGACCCTCTGTGCAGTGCTCTTGATCTTAGCTTTCGTTCGTTCACTTAACAAATGGATGCTCTGGAGGATGCTGAGGTGAAGCAGAGATTGTGCCCTCAAGGAACACCTAGTCTAGAAGAGAAGCCAAGACGGGTGTAATCACTGGATTCTACGGTTGCCAAGTGTCCTCAGGGAAGGGTGGATAATGCTCTGAGTGAGTCCAGAGGTGGGAAGAAGACTTCCGCCTGTGGCCACCCGGGGAAGCTCTGTGATAGCCGTGCTGACAGGACACCGTGTCCCAGGATGCCAGCAGGGAGCACTGAAAGGCCACGTCCCAACTGGGGGTGGTTGGGGCACAGGCCACCTCTTAATTTCCTGGGGGTTAAAAGGAAAGGATGGGTTTGGTCTGGAAATGAGAGATGGGGGTGCTCGGGTTACCTGAGATTGTTTTTTTCTGTTGTTTAGGCTGGTGTGGGAGACAGTGTAGGAGAAAAGATCAAAGCCAGCGGAAAGACAGTGCTGACTGGAGAGAAAGAAGAGAGCAGGGTAGGAGGGAGAGGGGGAGAGGTGTCAACAGGCTGAGCCATCAGATCAGTAGCGGGACGAGGAGTGGATGGGTGGTGGGTGGTGGGTAAATGCACTGCTGTTGGCCACCATAGAGAAAAGTTTGAGCAAAAGCTCAACTATGGGAGGACCCTTCTGGCAAAAGCAAAAGCAGTTGCTATAGCCATTATTAGCAATCACAGATCCTGGGACCCTGAACTTGGAGCCTGAGACCTCACTGTGGCTACCAACCCCTCCAGCCCCACCAGAGCCCAATTACCTTAGGTGTCATGTTCAGGACAGATCCAGTACCCTGGTCATTGGTTTGCCTTGGGGACCCCAGATCTCCCATGTATGCGTGCATGCTTTATGGGTGCCCATGCAGTCTTCAAGGGGTGAGCAGTCCCGTTTCTGATCTCTGCAGCAGACACAGTGGACCTGAACTGGTGTGTAATTTCTGATATGGAAGTCATCGAGCTGAACAAATGCACCTCGGGCCAGTCCTTTGAAGTCATCCTGAAGCCGCCCTCCTTTGATGGGGTGCCCGAGTTCAACGCCTCCCTACCCAGACGGCGAGACCCATCACTGGAAGAGATACAGAAGAAACTAGAAGCAGCTGAGGAGCGAAGGAAGGCAAGTGTTGTCTTTTCTTCCTTCTATTGCAGCAGTGCGGGGAGAGAGCTGGAGAAGACAGGTGGTGGTCTGAACTGGGTCAGGTTACCACCAACCTGCTAATATTTAAATAGCATCTCCCATTTGCAAGGCAGAGAACGAGGCACCACTGAGAGAAACAAAAAAGTAAAAATCCCTGGTCTCTAGGAGCTTACGGTTTGGGTAGGAGGGTCAGGCACTGCTTTATGTACCTCTAAGAGGTGGCCTTATATGCATAGTGACAAGAGTAAGACAGACAAACACTAATGATTTAAGGAAAGTCTAGACAATTATGAAAGGGCTCCTTAATTGAGGGAGGGGAAAGAAGGTCATGGTGTGGTATCTTTCCATTCCCCTCACGTCTCCACCATGTTTCCTACTGAATCTTTGTAGCCCATCTCTGATGCCGTCGTTGTGTAAGCTTTTCTTTATCTTTCAAGCGGAAAATAATCTTCCTCCTTGAATCCCTAGAGTACTTTCTCTTTTAAGGCATATGTTACATGCTAGTATGGGTTAGAGTTATTTATGTATGTCTTAGTTGTACTAGACTTTTTTCTTTTCTAAGTTGTTAGAATAGTGCCTGGCACATAGAAATGGTCATTTAGCATTTTTGAATGGATAAATGAATGAATCAATGATGGCGATGAGAAAAAGAGAGCTGAGTATATGGTGGGAGAACCCAGGAAGTAACTATCCTTGCTTCCTGCCAATGGACCTGGGACCCAGCTCAGGGAGATGTGTGTCCTGGGTGTGGAGCTTTAAAGTCACGATGGTAAACATATCCCCAGCATGTTCATCTTCAAGGGTCTCTTTCGTCCTTTGTGCGTGCCTAGTACCAGGAAGCTGAGCTCCTGAAGCACCTGGCGGAAAAGCGGGAACATGAGCGCGAGGTAATCCAAAAAGCCATTGAGGAAAACAACAACTTCATCAAGATGGCTAAGGAAAAACTGGCCCAGAAGATGGAATCCAATAAGGAGAACCGGGAAGCTCACCTTGCCGCCATGTTGGAACGGCTGCAAGAGAAGGTAAGTGGTCTCGGATCAGAGACCTGGGAGATTCCTAAGACTCTCTCTTCCTTCTGTGGCAAGTATAATGGACCTATATATCATTTCAGGGAACAAGCAACCTCAGGTGGGAATGGGGATATTTCTGTTAGGCTGGGTTCTTAACGAGTTCCAAAGGTTGGTTTGGGAAGTCATAGACAAGAAACACAAATCGAGCTTTGAAATTCCTCGGGGGACACGCTGCATCGCCACACAGTTGATATCTCTCAACATTTTAGGAGATTAGACTTCTTATCATCTAGAGAAAGCCTGACTAATGCAAGGGAGGTGGGATAAAAAAGCAGTTGTGCACTCGTGGCTTCATCCTTGAATGGACCGATTCGATTCAATGAAAGATGCTGACTCGAGCTCTTGGCTCTAATCTAAGCGCATGATGAGCTGAGTGGCCCATTGAGCAACAAATATGATTCTCTCCAAACCTCTTGATATAGACCTAGGTAGTCACGGGTCTTTCCAATATGCTGCCTTTTGTCAATAAACCAAATGGTGTCACCTAAATATGAGATACGTGAGAGACTGGGGTTGGTCCCACATGTCAGCAGAATAACAACCTGTTCTGCTGAGAACATGCTGGCCTCGTTTCCTGAGTCTCAAGGCTGCCCCAGTTTCTCCTGCAGCTCCTGAGAGAGCTCCAGCTCTGTGTTTTATTTCCAGGAGCCGCCTGCTGCGCGGTGACTCCAGGGACCCGATCGGTGGCCTCGTCCCATGGTGAGCAGCGTGGTCCCCGCTCCTTCCTGCCCATCCACCTAGAGTCTCAGGCCTTTCAAAACTGCTACTAGAAGGATCTGGTTTCTTCACAGATCTGAACGTTGCATAGGCCATGCAGCTGACCAGCATGGGGCAGCCCCTCCTCTCATGTACTCTATCCTTTTGGGGGCAGCAAGGCCTCCGCCAAGCATCGCATGGAAAGGAAGTTATCTGGGTCTGATTTCAGGCTTCTCCAGTTATTGAGGGATGGTTAGGAACAAACTCTTGCAGGAAAAAATATCTGGGATTGGAATAGGACTGGGGCACAGGTTCTCAGACAAAACCCAGAAGAAATAATTAAGGCTAGAGCTATGATATGGCTACGAAACACTTCCATTTGAAAGACTGCAAAACACTTAGATTTCATCATATTCCTAGTCTCACAACCAGTCTATGAGGTAAGCAGAAATGTTGTCCTTATTTTACCAATTAGAAAACTATGTCAGAGAAGGTCAAATGACTTGCCCAGGGTCACACAGCCACTAAGTAGTGGAACTGGGACTAGAACTCAGTCCTTTGGCTATGAGTCCAAGTGGCTCTTTCAAAACCTGTTTCAGGAAGACCAGCCCACAATAGTCCTGCTGGCCTTTTGTCAGAGAAGTGGCCATTGGAGGTCAAGGAAACAGAGTCCAGAAATCCAGAGTTCTGTCCAGGGAGCTCACCTGGGCATGAAGGTAGACTCTAAGGTAGAGAGATTGGAAAAGCCCACATTCTGGGGTCATAGCTTTGGAGGTCAGGTAAGACTCAAAGAAGAGAGATGTCAGAGTAGACATTTGAGTGGGCATCTCTCCTCTGGGATCTTGACCCCTATTTACCCTTCCCCATCAGTGAAGGCAGGAGGCAGAAAAAGATAGGTGTGTAGTGTTTGCCCTGCCCCAGGCCAGGGACACCTTCAACAATGCCTTTTGTGTTAGTGTTTGTGTAGGTCACTGATCACTTGCACTAGACTCACCTGGTGTCAAGTTTAACATGACAGATTCATGGACCTACCCAAGACCTACTCACACAGACTCTCAAGAGATGATGCCTAAGGACCCGTAGTTTAACAAGCTTCCTAGGTCATGCTGATACATAGCAAGGTTGAGAGCCACTGCTTTACATGCACTGTTCCTCATACTTTCCCCAGGGCCCTGGAAAATTCTAGGGCCTCTCCAGGGACAGATTTGTAATTTAAGCTATGTCTTGGGAATCTGGACTACCTCAGTGGGCCTGCTCTGGGCTCATTCTTGACATCTGGATGTGATGATATTTGGATGGATGCCGGGATGTGGCAGAGACATATTTAGTAAGCAACTACCATGTGCAAAGTGCCACGGGAGAAATTGGGTGATACAAAGAAGAACAAAGCATGCTCCCCGCCCATAAAAAAGTCACTCAATAGAGGACCTAGATATATGCATAATGAATAAGTTGAAATGTAAGGCAGCCCACGATAAGCCCTAAAGGTGAGCACTTACAGACTTCTAGAGGGCCCATGCATAGCCCTCCCTTTAAAGACCAGAGAACTGAGGTCTGATCAGTGAAGTGAGTTGCACAAGGTCACAGCTGATGATCCTTTGAAGTCAGACTCCAGCTTTTGGCTTGATTGTGCTGTGAAATAAAAGTGAATTCTCTTAATACACTTGAAAGAAAGCTCACGTTTTGGTATCGGACGATATTTCCAAAGTTTCTTCAGACTATTATACTTAAAGAGCCCTCATCTTTCACCAGGGGGTTTATAGAACTCTCATAAGGAGATGGACAAGAAGTAAAAGCAGCAGTCAAGTTGCGTGTGTGTGTGTAGGGGACACCTGCAAGGAGGCCTGTCTGTTTTGCCTGTTCCTCTAGCAGGTGCCTTGTGTGACTCCTTATATTAAGTCAAGCAGCATATTCAGTGCATGAGTGAGGGAGAGGCCGGTGGGCGCTGGGGTCGCTGTGAGGTGGGTCCTCCATGGGAGGTTGGCCCCAGTCACTGAGCTCCCTGGGGCCAAACTAGCAGGCTCATTGACCCGCCTCCTGCCAGTCTCACCTGCCACCTTCTGCCCCTCCTCAGGACGCCTTGAGACCCTGCTCTTCACTTCTGGTGGCGGCCACTCTTTGAGTTCTCCTGTCCCTTGGCCTTCCTTTACCCCCAAGTGTGACCTGCCCTTTTTCCTCCCTTCCCTCCCAGGACAAACATGCTGAAGAGGTGCGGAAAAACAAGGAGCTGAAGGAAGAGGCCTCCAGGTAAAGCCCAGAGGCCAAAGAAGTTTCCAGAACAGCCGGACAGCTCCAGCGGCTCTGCAGTTCCCGAGGCAGCCTCGCCAGCCGTGGGCTGCTCTCCCAGCACTGGGGTTTGGGGGGGAGGGGGGTGGCCAGGGGTGTTTCCTCTGCTTTTGGTGTTTGTACATGTAAAGAATTGACCGGTGAAGCCATCCTATTTGTTTCTGGGGAACAATGATGGGGTGGGAAAGGGGAGAAGAGAGAGATGGGGAGAGGGAGATGGAGAAAGACTCATGGACATTGCAGCCCTGCCCACCGCAGACTCAGGTCAAGTCCTCGCCTTTTCTTTACCATCAGCGTCCAGGCACCATGTTGAAAGAAGTTGAAAATATAGCAGTAGAAGTCTGAGTGAAAGGCAAAGTCCTGGGTGGGGCAGCGGCTGCGGGGTGGAGCTGGAGAAGCCCAGCGACGGGGTGGGGGTCCGGAGATGTTGCTTCAGCCTGCAGCAAGTGAGATGAGGTCTGAGTGTGTGTGTGTGTGTGTGTGTGTGTGTGTGCGCGCGCGCGCTAACCATTATCTTTTGATCATCATGACCAATGAAACGTTTACTCCAAGTCTCCAGTTCTTTATTTCCTGAATTGATCCTTTGGATGACTGATAGAATGTTCTTGAATTGGGCACACCAGGGGGCAGGTGCCCCTTCTATTCCTTAGTTTGACCATCAGAGCATCTGAGATGCTGGGCAAGGTAGGTCGAAACACGTCAGCCTTTGACATAACTGAAAAGCCTTCTTCTCTTTCTTTTTATGAACTTCCCCTTACTGGATTGAGCGCACTGAATTGATGAGAAAAAAAATACAACCTTCTTTTCTATGGGTTAACATTCCAGTATGGCCCCCAAGATGCACAGTAAGAAGGAAGTCCTCTTCACCTTGAAGGTGCGGGATGCCAAGAGGTCACAAAAAGAGAGGAAGGAAATAAAATATTAGTGAAAAAGCAAAGGGGGTCATTTCAGACCCAGCAGGCACCTTATCCAGAACACCCACCATGGCTGGGAAAGGAGCCTCCCTCCTTCTCGCCCCTGCACACAGGAGTATGTGTGTGGGGGGGCAGCCTGCATGAACCAGGTCCCAGGGCATCTCCCCACCCTGCCCCATGCACTGTGTAGTTTTGTACAGCTTCGTAAATAAACCGTTTGGTGTTGCTTCCCCCGACCCCGCCCCACCAGTGGTATTTCAATTTAGCTTCATTTTAGAGTGAGATAACGGGAGAGATCAAAGACGACGATGATGATGACAGCCGCTAACACTTAGGCAGCACTTACTAGATAGATGCATGGCAATTTTCTAGACATCTGAAAATTTTCACAACGCCCCTGCACAGTAGGTACTCTTATTAGCCCATTTTGCAGGCAAGGAAGCAGGTATAGAAAGGTTATATAACTTGCCCAAAGTCACACAGAGAATAAGTGAGAGAACAAGACTTCGGTTCTGGCGGCGTGCTCCCAGAGTGCAAGCTCTTAGCCACTGCGCTGTGCTGCTTCTCGTCACTTCCAAACTGGGCTCTGAGCTCCTAGGACAGTGTTTCTCAAACCGTGAGTTGTGACTCTTGCATTGTAAATTCAACTTAGTAGGTGCCACCCAACTTTAATTGTTATAAAAAAATGAAATAGAATAGAAAACAAAATGTCAAAGTGATCCCAGGCAATAATGGAAGTATTTTTTTATGGAAATTGTATTTCAATTTTATATTTGTGTATATATGCTCTAGATCACAGCATAAAATTTATTTCTTACTGGGGGTTGCAATCAAAACCCTTTGAAGGTCACTGTCCTAGAATGAACGTGAAGACCAGAGCTATAGTCTCGGGGGCTGATGGGAAGTGCTGTGCTTGAAAAAGTGAGACGCCGTGGCCATGCCATAAAGAACTGTCTGCTTCTGAGTAAGAGGAGACACAAGGGCCCTCAAAGGTCTAGTCTCACAAATTTACCCCATCAGCATCTCCATCTTCCCAAAAGAATACCCAAGACCTGGAGGATGGTCCATTCCCACCACTCTCTTTCACGAAACTGCGTATACCGTTCATTCCCTGATAAACCATATTGATCCAAATCTCCATCCTTTGCATATGCAGTTCCCTTGTTTGGGTTTCTCTTCCCTGCCTAGTTGAATTCATTCCTATGAATTATTTTAAACTCAGCTCTGATATTAAGTTCTCTGATTCAACCAATACTTTCATACCTCTTATATGTATTGATTACAGTGTAATTATTTGTTTATCTATATCTCTCATCCAGTAGACTTGAAGCTCCTTGATAAAACAGGGACAAGCTTTATTAATATTTGTGTCTCAGGCTGTGGCTGCTCCAGAATTCTATATAGGATGGGATTAGCAGCAGCAATCTTGTTGAAAGAAAGTCAAGGGTACTTATTTTGAAGCCTCATTTGTGTAGCCCTTTGCTGAACCATTAAGACCCAGAAAATATTATCAGTTGCACATATCAAAGAATAGAGGTGGCTGATCCAGATTATGCAGAAGACTAAAACCCACCACCAAGACAAACCCTGGGTCCCACTAATCCCTAATGCCTGAGACTAAAAACTGAAAACTCCAATTATGTGTTCAGTATGGGACTAGCTCGCTTCCAAGCATTTAAAAGCAATTCATGTGTGTTCCAACTGATGTGTAAAGGGTCTACACATGAAATGACCAAGACAATGGTTCTTAAAATTTCAATTTCTATCAAAATCCTTCTGAGAGCTTGTTAAAATGTACATTTCTTGGGTTTTGGGGTTTGCAAATGAAAATAATTGGCCAGGCTTGTTGAAATATTATCTTTCGAGGATGTTGAATTGGAACCTATATTTTAACAAGCTGTTTTCCAGGTTTGTAGGGGCCAATCATGACTACAGTTTGTGGAGCTATGTACAATTAAGAACTAAACCACAGGCAGTATCTCCAAGGGCAAGAAGAAGGGTAGGTTGCTGCCAACAGGAGTCATTGGAGAAGGTTTCATGGAGGGGGCAGCACGTGAACTGAGCCTTTAAGGATGAGCATACTTTGAACAGAGGAAGAGGCAGGGCAGGAGGGCGGGCCTGGAGATGAGTTGAGAGCCAAAAGCATTGGACAGCAGCTGCCATTGTACAGAAGTGAATAAATTCATCATCCTGGAAGAATATACAAAGAAAAGGGATTTTGGGATTCCCTTGATGGTGTGGCAAGGTGAGGAATTGGAGCCAAAAAAGGGCAGAGTGAAAGAGGCATGTTTCAAATCATGAGATCCCAAACCTGTGGTTTTCACTGGGGGCAGTGTCGCCCCCTAGAGGGCATTTTGGAAATGTGCTGCGGCAATTTTGGTTAACACAAGATGCAGGCCGGCTCTGTGGGCTTATGGCATGGAAAAGTGAAACGTATTCCAACAGGGCACAAAAGATTGGAGACGCAAATTGAAAGTGTACTATTGTAAGAATCTTTCACTACAGGTGAAATAGTATGATATTGTTTGGAGACAGACTAAGATACGTTGAGTATATGTATTGCAAGCCTGAGGGCAACACTTAAAATAGCAACAACAACAAGGAAGATGACAACCACGAAAATGAAGAGGTGTAGCTAATACACTGAGACTGGAGATAAGTGAAATATATTTATATATATAAAACAATCCAATCCAAAACAAGGCAGAAGAAAAGGAACAAAGAAAAATGAGATGAAAGTAAAACAAATAGCAAGATGATATATTTACATCTAACCATATTGATATAATTTTCTTTCTATTTTTGAAATATAGCTGACATAAGGCCCTGTAAAAGTTTAAGTTGTACAGCATAATTACTTAACTTATATATGCTGGGAAATTATTATTACGAAAATAAATTTAGTTAACATCTATCGTCTCATACAGGTACAAAAAAATGGTTTTTCTTCATGATCAAAACTCTTACAATTTACTCTCTTAACTTGCAAATATATCATATTGGTAATTGCATTAAATTTAAATTGTCTAAACACTCCAATTAAAAGGCATAGACTATCACATTGGGGAAAAATGTAAGACTCAGTTAGATCACAAGTTACCCACTTTAAATATAAATACAAAGATAGGTGAAAAGTAAAAAACAAAGAATAAAGATATATCATGTAAGCACTAATCGAAAGAAAGCTGGATTAGCCACATCTATATCAGACAAGGTAGATTTCAGAAAAAGGATTATTATCAGGCATAAAGAGGGACAATATATGAGGATAAACAAGTCAATTTATCAAGAGAAAACAACAATTCTAAATGTACATGCATCTAATAAGAGTTTCAGAACACACGAAGCAGAACTTTTTGGAACTGAAAGGAGAAATAATTGACCAGCTTGACCAACTAGAATATTATACCCAACAGCAGCAGAATATATTCTTTTTCAAGTATACATGAAATTCATCAAGATGGACTATATTTTGGGCCATAGAACAATAGTCACAACATTTAAGAGGATAGAAATTAAACAAATTAAGTTCTCTGACCATTATGGAATTAAACTAGAAATTAGCAACAGAAAGTTATCTGGAAAATCCCCCAGTATTAGGGAATTAAATAACGATCTAAATAACCCATGAGTAAAAGCATAAATCACAAGGAAAATAAGAAATATTTTGAACTGAATGAAAACAATACATCAAAAATTATAGGATGCAACAAAAGAAATACTTTGAAATTTGTACCTTTAAATGCCTATATTAGAAAAGAAGGAAAATCATAAATCAGTAATCTAAGGTTCCACCTTAAGGATTTAGAAAAGGTAGAGCAAATTCAACCCAAAGTTGCCAGAAAGAAAACATAAAGATAGGAGCAGAAATCAACGAAATTAAAAACAGAAAGAAAATAGAGAATTGTTTCTCTGGATGAAGATGTAAAAACCTCAGTGCCCCATGGGTAGCGTTGAGTTTAGCTTCCTTGGAAGTGTGTTGCAGAGTAATGTTTCTCAAACTGAGCCCATGATGTGCAGGGATATGCAAAGTTACAAGATAAAAATTGCACATTTTCCTAGAGGATCACTTTTATTTGAAAGTTAGGGGAAAACATTGTTATGATAAGTGTAAAAATGAAATACAATACAAAAATGTCCCTGGATATTTTTATTGTAGTAAAAAGATATAACGTAAAATCTACCATCTTAACCACTTGTATCGCTTCCATCTCTCAGCTAATGTGAATAGTGCTGCCATGAACATGGTACACATATCTGTCTTCAAGACCCTTCTTTCATTTCTTTTGGACAGATATCCAGAAATGGAACTTCTGGATCATATGGTAATTTGATTTTTAATTTTTTGAAGAACTGCCATTCTTTTTCCTATAGTAGTTGCAAAAGTGTGCATAGATTTTTGAGGGGAGCATAAAAGGCTTCTAG